GGTTTGGTTATAGGTTTGGGTGCATTTGGGTATTTTTATGTTTGTTTTGTGTGATTTGTAAGTGTACACATTGAAACTAAGCATTTTATGTGGATTAAAAGTGTATTCCAATTTGAGAGATTGTCCCCTTTCTAAAATAAGCTCTGCAGACTTGGTTACACTTTCAATGGTATTCTCCAGGGGGCGCAGCACAGATAACACAGCATTGTCTTAACTTCAATGTATCAATAAAAGACCTTGAACAGAAATGAGGACACAGGCATCCTATGATCACAAAAGTAGATAGTAAAATAATTTCACAGGCACATATAACATGGGTAGGGACGGATTTGCCCTGTACACATTTATAATGAACTCATTGCAGACCTACCATAACATTGACAATGACAGTGCCAGTGACTGGGGCAGTTAATCAGAAAATAAATGAATTCATTAGTTTGTCTTCAATGATAAAAAGACAGGCATGGTGCAAAATGACGAATATGTATCGTAAAATGTAACGGTTTCATGGACAATAGCCTTGACATCTATGCCATGTGCTTTTGGATAACATTTTTATTTTATGGTATCTGCAGATATGGTACAGATATACAGGTTTAAGGTGCTAAGATAGAATAATGGAATTTATTGCAAAAGAAACAATGGCACGAAGATACAGAGATGCAATACAATACCAGTTACGAGTGAATAGGCAGAGATAGACGTGTGAACATGTTGTTATATAACTAGGACACAATACCAGTTACCAGTTAATGGGCAGAGATAGATGTGAACATTTAGTTATATAACTAGGACACAATACCAGTTACCAGTTAATGGGAAGAGATAGATGTGTGAACATTTAGTTATATAATTAGGACACAATACCAGTTATGAGTGAATGGGCAGAGATAGATGTGAACATGTTGTTATATATAACTAGGACACAATATGAGTTACCAGCGAATAGGCAGAGATAGATGTGAACATTTAGTTATATAACTAGGACACAATACCAGTTATGAGTGAATGGGCAGAGATATATGTGGACATTTAGTTATATAACTAGGACACAATACCAGTTACCAGTTAATGGGCATAGATAGATGTGAACATTTAGTTATATAACTAGGACACAATACCAGTTATGAGTGAATGGGCAGAGATGTATGTGGAATTTGTGTCCATTTAGCCAAAATAGCATTTGGGAAGTCATGATGGAGAAGGCCTGACTCGCAATCAGCGTTCCAATTTATCCCAAAGGTGTTCAATCAAGGTCATGTCGAGGTCATGGCACTGTGCAGGCCAAACACATTAAACTTGTGGGCACGTGGTAACAGGAAAGGGCCATCCCGTCAAAAATGTCTTCATATCCTGTAGCATTAAGCTTACACTTCACTGGAACATAGGGGACTAACCAACATCCTGACACACAGCCCCAGACCAGTATCCCTCCTCCACCAAACCCTGACACACAGCCCCAGACCATTATCCCTCCTCCACCAAGCCTTTCAGTAGGCACTATGCATTCTGGCAGGTATCATTCCCCTGGCATCCGCCACACTCAGATTCTTCCATCAGACTGTCAGATTCACTCCAGAGAACACTGTTCAACAGCTCCAGATTCCGTTGGCGGCATGCTTTACACCACTGCAGGCGACACACTTGGCATTGTGCATGTTAATGTGAGTCTTGCATATAGCCCGCTCGACCATGAAAAGCCATTTTGTAAAGCTCCCGATTCACAGTTCTTGCGATGATGTTGATTTCAGAAGCAGTTCGGAACTCTGTGATGAGCGATTCAACAGATGATTCGCAATTTGTATGCGCCTGTGGATGGATGTGGCTGGAACTCATGAACTCAATCATTAGCGCGGGTGTCCCCGAACTCTTGGTCATATAGTGTACATACACACATCTGTAATGAAGGTAGAAAGAGACAAATTAGCATTTTCTACTAATTCACGTGTTTTTCCATTTTCAAACCATTATTAGTCACTGACCCAGATAACGTTCTGATCCGATTGTTGTTAGCGCTCTGTATTAACGTTCGTTTTCCCTTCTCCTGCTTTGGTGCACTGCAACTCATATCAGAGAGAGAGCAGACTCCGTCTTTCCCAGCATGCTTATCTTGCCTTTATTCTTGATGGACGAGATTAACGTGTTTTACCGAAACGCAGTACAGACGGGGACGACTCCGAATTAGACAAGCCGTGAATGTTGTCGAACAGTCGCCGTTTTCTTTTCTGATGAAGGCAGGAAATGAGATTGGTTTGTCTTTCCAGTGGCGGCATCGGGCTTGTATTAGGTCGGTGTTGTGCATATGATTTAGTGTTGAGCAGTAGCACAGGCTGTCAGCGAGTGACAGGTCTGACAGAGCACAGGAGCAGCTCTGACTTTGTTTACACGAATAGACTCTGGAGCAGCGCCAGGCGAAATATCTGGGCATCATCAGCAAGGAAGACTCATCCATAGTCCCGGCCCTTATTTCGGACAAGTTGTCATATTTATTTTAAATGGCTGCGGCCGTGGTGGAGGCTCCCTATAAGACGTTAGCGTCGAGTACAGAAGTACTATAGCGACTATAGTGACATGTTATAAGCTGGGTAGTTTGAATCTGGATTCCTGTGTCATGGCTGCGAGGTGTAAGGAAGGAGAGATCCGGAGTCCAGTGATGAGCAAACACAGGCTTAATTTAATAGCAATGTCCTCCAGCCACGTAAATCACGTAATCAATCCCAAAGGGAACAGGTCACACTAGTGACACACAATAATTAAGGTAGCGACGCAGCGCTTTAAATGTATTACTGTCTTCAAAGAGACAGACAACCACCTCCACTACAACACGTAACATCAAACAATACAACACAAAGTCAAGTGTTGCTGAGCTCACCAGTGCGTTCTTTCTTTTTAAGAATGCACCAAACAGTTGATTTGGCCACACCTAATGTTTCTGCTATCTCTGTGATGGGTTTGTTTCGAGTTGACAGCAACAGATTCCCAACACAAATACCACACTTGAAATGAACTCTAGACCTTTTGGCCATGGAACACCTGAGCAGTCAATTGTCCAATTACTTTTGGTCCTATGAGAAGGGGGGGACATATAAAATGTGAATATTCCTACACCGTTTACCTGATTTGGATGTAAATTCATTAATTATAGCTGAAAGTATGCACTTAAAGCACACCTTGTTTCATTTCAAATCCATTGTGGTGGTGTACAGGGCCAAAGAGAGGAAAATCGTGTCACTGTCCAAATATTTATGGACCTGGCTGTACCACTGCTAATTGCAGTATGCCTGGACAAAGCACTTAGTCGTGGTATATTTGCAATGTATCCCAAACCTCAGAGATGCCTTACTGATATGTTGATTGCTGGACGCCAAATGGCTGTAGCAGGTTTGATGAATTATCATTGATACGTTATTTCTTCTAAACTGCAATTTAGATTACTCTTTTCATATGCCCACTTCAATTAACCCCTGAACTTCTTTGACCACACCGGCAGAGATTACTTCCAGTAAGCATGCATACAAGTAAAAATGACCTAATGCACAGTATGATCCGCCCATGTGAAAGCTGACAGACATGATCAGAATATGTGGCAATTCCAGCAACCACCAGGTTGGGACCAACGTACAGATAATTAGTCCTCTGTAGAAAATATCACACAAAGATCTATCTTCGTGACCAGAAGTTTGCTCCTTGTTGGAAATCTCATCAGATTTTTCACGTTGACTCATGCATTCATCCATCAGGCCGTGAAAAGTTAAATTGAACTATACATCTAATTTCATACCACTCTTTAGCCCGAGCTATTATGTATGTACGGTGTTTGGCACATTTCCGCTGAGTAGGAAACATGTGACAGGAATTTGAAATAAAACGGCAGGCTCTACGTTTCTACGTTTTAGGGGCCCGGGGAAGCTACAGCTCCATTATGACCAGTTTAGTAGCTTTATTGGGTACTGGTTGTGATGATGCGGTCGTTTTATACCTTGTGCTGCTATTTCCGAAACATAACAGTCGTATTTAGACCATGTTCTGTCCTGACATCTGTGGATGTAATCACAAGCACATGTACTGCTGGTTGTTTAACATTCCCCAGTAATGTCTATTCACTGATGATCAATGAAAACCCAATTTGGAGGCCAGGATTGTGTTTCAAATGTTGAAATGTTTTCTCTTAAAAGCATCTCCTGGCGTCTTGTTGTATCAATGAGATACTGCAAGAACCAAACACTGTATGTAACAAACTTGCTCATGGAAAAATTACACAGATAAGCTGTGGAAAATTACAAAATGCGTCTTCTGAGAATTTGGCAAATGTGATGTATAATCCTCTCAAGCAATTTATTGTTATGTAACAATTTAGCTTGAATTCTATTTCAAAGAAAAGCAGGGCTTATCATCAAAACTGAGTGTTATTCATTTACATTTTACCAGGCAATAGCCATACTGTATAAAATGTGGGAAAACAACTCCTCAAGTAAGGAGACAGCAGTATTCTCTTAAGTGTGAATCTACCTGCTCTGACTAGGATTTACAGTATGCACACGGTTAGCATGATGCTATATTATATATATATATTTTTTTTTACCTCTTCATGTGAAGCCCTTGGAAGGGCTTTTTAAACCTGCTTTCTGACCCTGAACCTGACTCATGGCTATAGATTGTCAAGCGCGTTAGCCTTTAGTTTTAACTTGACCTTTATGCCAAAGGTTGGTCACCACTAAAAAAAACACACTAATTAACCAATCGAACGGCACACACAAGCGAGTTCTGCGAATTCAGAATTTGATTGATGTCCTGGCAATGTTTCTGTTTCTGTGCCGCCTATTAATAACAAATGCTGACATATAGGCCACACAAAAGCAGAGGTAGGCGACTAGATTTAGCCATGGGTCGATGTTTCTCAAAACATAATAATAACAATCTATTTGGTACACTTCAAATTGACCACGGCTAAGTTGAAAAACATTGTATTTTAAATAATAATTATATACATTATCAGAAGAGCTGGTAGCTCAGTTGTAGAGTGCACGCTTTGTATGTCTGATGTCCTGGGTTCAATCCACGTCTTCGCCCCAGGTCACCGTTGCAAATGAGAAATTGTTGTCAATCGGCCGACCGGATTAAATAAAGGTTGAAAAAAATGATACATATATCCCTTGATTACATTGAAATGCAATAAATAGTGTTTCTTATTTTGGCAATGTGCCTGTGTGGCGGGTTCACTCCTTGGGAACCCATGCAGTACAGAATGAAAGCGTGACCGAACGTAGTGAGAAGAGGAAACGTGCACATTATGGTTAGCCTGACGCGCTACAGCTAACTCTAGGGCCAAAGCAAGAATACCTGACAACAGCATCGCCGTAAGCCTGATCGAATGGCTCATCGTGTCCAGGGCTGAATCATTCTGACTCTGAGTGTCCTCTTTTCGGAGTGTGTCACACCTGGAGCCGCCGCTGCTATAATGCCTGTCTCCAGTCCGGACTCAGTCATCAGAGCAGTTAGGGAGGCGCCGGTAGGGAGGCACCTGCTAAAATATGACATTCTCACCGAGACCTTTTACTACAGAAGGCAATCGACGGGTAATTACATTCTGTGATGAATACACAGAATGTGTCTCACTTATTTGGAAATTGATTTCCCATAAAGTGAGAGTGTTCACGAGGCCGCGGTTCTGTTTTACCTCGTGGCGAGCTAAGGGTTTGTTCTGTCGATAACTAGATGGGGCAGCGCGAAAAGATGGAGAGTGCATGCTACCTGTAGTGTGTAGGCAATCTGTGTAGTCTGTAAAAAGATCTATAATAATATAAGCTCTGAGGTACTTTTAGATGCCCTTAGATGAGGTCAGCAGGATCTGATGTATAAAATACAGAAGGTCTTTGACTTTCCTTTTAAGCCAGGGGATAAAAATCTGTTGTTGTCCCGGCAGTTGGTTCGTTTTTTTCCTCTGCAATCAACGGTAGGAGATACTGTCAGGAATGGTTTTATTGTTTATATAAATATTCCAACATACATGCTTTTCTTTTATTCTTTTGTCATACAAACCAACATACTATTAAAACACACCATAGTAAACGTTACTATTGTTTTTCCTAACATTATATGTTCATTATTCACAGAACGTCTTAAGGCTTTTATAGTTGTATATGCCTGCTTTAAGATTCCCAAGGTTGAAAGAACATCTGATTACAGATGGTACCTGCGCGAAGAGTGTCAGCGGACCGAGGATTCCCCTGTTCATATTCTGAAACGAACCGTCCGTTGTCACGACAGTCCTCTGCGTGGTTGAGCGTTATTGCTGGACAGACCATAATAACTGGAGCGATGTAAAGAAAAGTTACACTATAGCCGGTTGTTATGCTGAAGCACTCTAGTAAAAGTGAAGTGTTGGCAGTTGAGGGGGAAAAAAGGAGAAAGGTCTGTCATTCCAAAAACGAACTTCATCTAAATCCAAACAAAAGAAGCCCAGTAATGGATAATAAATTGACAGATTCTGTCCGTTGGCCAGCTTTGAAGGATTATTTTTCTTCGCTCTTCGTAGGATGGTGTTGTGGGTGGACAGAAAGTCACAATCTACGGGAAGGGAAAAGGGAAAACGAAAATGTATTGGTGTTGCTTTGAGACAGTCAAAGAGACCGTAGGAAAGGTTAGCGTAGAGATTGAGCCAGACGGTTGGGTTTGTCCTGTGCTGACCCGTCAGGGCTTATCTGTATGAGCCAGGTGACTGGAGAAACTCAGACATACAACAAAGCAATCTGTTAAGCCCATTGTGGACAAGCCAAGGACAAAATTACATCTTCGTGCACTTGTCTTGTCGCTCTACTGTAACGTTACACAGGATGACTGAACTGCCAGACTCAGATTGTTGGAATAGATGACATGCGCGTATCTAACATTTGAGATAATCACCCTGCACTTGTTTACTGTAGTAAATGCTCGTTCAATAACGACAGATACAGTAACATCAGGGTGCAGTTATTTCCTGTATACGTTGAAACCTCCTAGATGCGATGCTAGGTCTCTAAGTGGAATTGGTTTACAGAAGGTGGGCTGAGAGTATCACTAGGAAAAATCGTCCATCATAAATTGTTAATTGGATGAATGAATAGCTGGAGGTGAGACCTCAGAAGCCCCCATTCTGAATACTAATAAACGCAGGCTGCAGCGGGAGAACGGGGGTGGAGAATTGGGTTTTCTAATGCATGATGCTGGTCTGTGGAGACGATGGAGTACTATATGGTAATCACTTCAGTCTGTTGGAGACGTGACATGTTACATAGCTTGTTTTATATGTAAAAGACAAGTGAGGAACCTACAGGCTTTTGACCCTCGCGATGCGTCTAGTTGCTTCCACTGTTTTTAGCAGGAGACCAAGTTTAGGACACAGGTGCACTTCCTCATTGAGATTGAGGATTCATCACATCAATTCAGCTGTGGACAATAAGACTGTTTTATTGCAACGGAACTAAATCGGAGAGAAGCGTAATTCTGTGTGTTTTGTAGCCCAGGCACACACGTATTCATACATTCCAGAGTTTGTTTCAAAATAGGATTATATTTTCATAATGCTCTTCTTACACTTTGTAACACAATATGTGTGGTAAGATTCACAGTCATACGTTCTGTCTCCTTCCTCCTTTTCCACTTATGTATTCATGATAACATTCACAGTCATACGTTCTGTCTCCTTCCTCCTTTTCCACTTATGTATTCATGATAACATTCACAGTCATACGTTCTGTCTCCTTCCTCCTTTTCCACTTATGTATTCATGATAACATTCACAGTTATGCATATTGCCTCCTCCCTCCTTGTCCTTCTACGTATTTCCTGTTTCTTTCGTCTAATAATAATAATAAGATAATAAGATCAGTGTAAATATTTCAATAAAGCTCGAAATGAGTATGTTTCAGTCAATTAAATCATTAATTCCTCATTGCTCCGTTTTGTTTTCACTGCTTTCTTTTCTTAGAATTCTGTAGGTGGCCAGACGACGAATGTGAACTGGTGTGTCGAATCACCCCAGGGAACTTCCCGAGGCTCTGCCTCCTCTGAGCATTCACTTAGTTACAATGTAACACTTTTAACCGTAGATGTAATCTTGTGTTCCCAGGCCTCTAGGTTGCGGATCTCTCCGAAGCCAGTGGGCGTCGTCCTACTCCCAGAGCTGTGACAGAGTGGCTGCCAGCGTGACAGGATGCCCTTACCCATGTGAAATCTGCAATGGAGACCAGAGCTTGATATCTGGTGAGCAGCCATGTTGTCGTTAACCCCCGCCGCGCCAGGCGCTTTCACAAACCGCTGCAGGTTCACGAGAGCAGTTGCAGTCTGTTGTTCGCGGTACCCGAGGCGACTTAGCAGCGCAGCGTTGAAGTGGAGTCTCTCATTAAGATGGCGGTCGTCATTACGAGCCTTGCAGGGTTGTGGAGAGCGTTGTTAGTTGAAAAACAGCTGTTCTATCTAAAAAAAAAAATAACAGAAACGAAACATCACAAATTACTGTTTCATCAACCAAGGGCTTCGGTGCGTGGCGAATTATTCAAGCATCTTGCTCCGCTGCTTCGACAAAACCTTCGACAGACGTGGGATTTGTTTAGCTTATGCACTCCAAATAATGCAGAAAAAACGAAATAATATGTTTATGTCTGTTTGTTTGAGCCATAGTGCTGCCGGGGATCCAGTTTAATTATTTGCTCACGAGGCGAGTCTGGGCAAGGCAGTGAGAAGCTGGGCAAGGCAGAACGGGCCGGGCGAACGCAGGGCAAGCCAAGGCAGGTCCAGGCACAGCAGGGCAGGGAAAAGTAGGGCGATCCAGTTGTTGGCCACGTCCGGGCTGGTGGGGCAGGATGGTGGATTATCCTGCTGACCGGGTGACCCTTTGTGGTCAGACCTCCTGTGGTTTTTGCGGTCACAATGCTTAGAAGAAAGGAATATGATGTCGCCCAATCCTTCTCCCCCCGCTCAGAGAGAATGAGAGGACAATCCTAATTAGCCAGATTGTGTTACTGAGCTGAGTTTAGCAAGTGTCCCCTCAGCACACCCAGCTACACACACACACACACACATCCAGGCACACACACACACACATCCAGACACACACACACACACCCAGCTACACACACACACACACACCCAGCTACACACACACACACACACACCCATTCACACACACACACACAGACACACACACCGAGCTACACACACCCACCCGCTCCCAGCCACAGACATACACCCAGCTACACACACACACACACACACACACACACACACACACAGCTACACACACACACCCATTCACACACACACACACACAGACACACACACCGAGCTACACACACCCACCTGCTCCCAGCCACAGACATACACCCAGCTACACACACACACACACACAGCTACACACACACACAGCTACACACACACACACACACACAACTACACACACACACACACACACACACACAGCTACACACACACCCAGCTACACACACACACACACACACACACACACACACATACACATACACCCAGCTACACACACACACACACACACACCCAGCTACACACACACACACACACACACACACACACACACACACACACACACACAGACATACACCCAGCTACACACACACACACACACATACACACACACACACACACACACACAGACATACACCCAGCTACACACACACACACACACATACACACACACACACACACACACACACACAGACATACACCCAGCTACACACACACACACACACAGCTACACACACACACACACACAGCTACACACACACACACACACACAACTACACACACACACACACACACACACAGCTACACACACACCCAGCTACACACACACACACACACATACACCCAGCTACACACACACACACACACACACAGACATACACCCAGCTACACACACACACACACACACACACACACACACACACACACACACCCAGCTACACACACGCCCAGCCCCACATGTCTGCTAACTAGTCTTCTCTAATTACCATGCTTTGGGTGTCTCTCCTTGCACCACACCCACACACATACACACACA